GATCAAATTAAATATTCTTGAACTGATACCCAACCTTTCTATTGGTATAATACAAATGTAGGATATATATATATTTACAACCCCCGGTTGTAACCCCCGGTTATATATATATGCAGTACCTTAGGTATAAGTATAGGTCTCATTCCCACAACACAACAAGTGTCATGTGAGGTATGTTGAATTGAGAAAGAGTAACTTGCTCAAAACCATCAGTGCACTTACACAGTAAAGAGTTGACTAGAATCTGCATGGGTCCAACATTCAATCCTTAAATCAACCTAGTACACAGCTTGGTTTCCCCTCTTGGTTCCTGCCCTTAAAAATGCAATATTAATCTTGATCTTACAGCAGAAATGCAAAACTTTTAATATTTGTTTATTAATATTATACAGAATTGGAAACTAATATCACATAGATACACGATTCTTTTTGCATGGAAATAGAGGCTCTTGAGCAAAGAAAACAAATACTGTAAAACTATAAATGTAGACTCCATTTTCAGGGTCCTTATTTTTTTAGAAGGTTAGTGCTTAAGCAGTTTTACAGAGAATTATTTTTAAAAATACTAAAGAGAAAAGAAATATTGGAAAAGGGAATTTAGTAGAATCAATTTGTACATGGAAATACATAGTAGAGATTTGAAAAAGGGATTAAAAAATACATTGGATATGTAGTTTATTCTTACCATTGTTCAAAGATTTTTTTACTGAGAAGAATTTCAGTATGTGAATTGTATTTATATGGAATAGATTGAAGCCATTTTCAGAAAAGATGTTCTCACATTGAATCAGTATGGAAATTTGAAGCATAATCAGGCCAATTATTGTCCTGCCAGCTTGCTGTCTGCTTCTTTGTTGGATATATGGTACTTACCAGAAGGAAGAACTCAGGTACTGGGGAAAAATACTTTCTTCCTATAAGAGTTAATGATTCATATGTATGGATCAAGGAACAGGGTAAATTAGCACACGAGATATAGATCAGGTCATGGCTAGCCGGTACAAATATCTGTTCTTTGTTCATATAATGATTGAATGTATCACCTTCTTGTAAACTTAAGAAGAGACTAGACCTGTGTTGGCGAATCTATGGCACGCGTGCCAGAGGTGGCACACAGAGCCCTCTCTGTGAGCACGCATGCTGCTCTTCTGATTTCCAGTGTGTACATGCATGCCAGCTGACAGAGCACCTGAAAATGACAAAAAAGGCTGTTTTCTGGGTTGTTTCCAGGACTTTTTTGGGCTGTTTTCATACCATTTTTCATACTGTTTTTGGACATTTTTTGGCTGTTTTATGCCATTTTTAGACTGTTTTTTGGCGGTCCAGTGGAAAAACAAAAAACAGCCTAAAATGGCCCAAAGAACTGCCTAAAATGGTATTAAAAATGGCCTGAAAATGGCCCCAAAACCAGCCCCCAAACCGGCCCAAAACAGGCATGAACACCAGCCAGCTGTTCTTTGGGTTTCCGGGACTCTGGTGCATGTGCATGCATGCGCATTCCGGTTTGGGCACTCGGTGCAGAAAAGGTTCGCCATCACTGGAGTAGACCAATATTGAAAATATACAGCTCAGCCAGTGCAGACAGCAACCGTAATAAAATTATTAAATTAATTTTTATTGATTTCCATCTTGTCAAAGGACCACATGGAGCCTGAACTGATATCTCATTGCAAATCAGAATGAATTGGGCAGGGAAATATGATCTCGTGAATCTGTTCTATAAATATTTTGTTGACTGTACTACTTGAACACCTTGGAATTCAGGTTTGGCTGGTGAGGACACAGCCAAATCATTTTTGGACATTGTGCTGCCAACTCAATTAAAATTGAATTTAATAAAAAGAGATGTGAAATTACTTACCTGGAAGAAAGTAATCAAATGCACAGCCATAGGATCAGTGTGCCTAGTAGTTTCTGCCTGAATGGATCTTAGAATTTTAATTGCGCGCACATATCGTGCATGGATTAGTGGTGTGATTGTGCATGTATGTACATGAACAATATTGATGCAGTCTCAAAATGTGTATTTTGGGACTGTTAATAACTTGTAAGAAATGGCAGTTATTATATTGAGTATTGTATTATACATCTAATTGATCAATGGGGAAAAAAATCTAACACTTATCATGAGAAGGGTCCTACAGCAGCGCTGGATTATAGATTTTTTGTTTGGATTCCTACACTGAGCAGAGTTGGGTAGCACATCTGTGTTTCTGGGAACCCAGATATATCCTGCCTATACTGAAGCACAAAGTAAAGCTTTCTAGATCAGCTGGGCATCTAGATATCTACAACTTGGTGGGCAACTACAAATAAGGTATGAACAGGTAAAAATAGGTTTCCTTAAAAAGATTTTCTTAAACATTTAAAAAAATTCCATTGTGGGGCAGTAGCTCATAAAAGTGATTATTCAAGCATATTTCTTTATCCCACAAAAATTATTCTATGGGATGTTGCATATTCAGTTTAATTCACCAATTCACTTGTGAATTCCATACTTACTACAGAAGAAAATCTAATCAAGGATGACTCCAGAGTTGATGTTAATTCTGTATAAGATTTAAATTAATAATATGATTTGTTTAATTGTGACTTTTCTTATGTGAATCCAGCCTATGGGTATTTATAATCTATGGTTTGTGGACAAAATGGCAGCCTTTCTGAGACACTGAATTTAGGTAGGGCAATAGTCACAGATCATATCATGTAAGGGGGAAGAACTGCAATTTACGATTTTTCTCCCTGAATACTTGTTTGCTTTTTAAAAAAATCTTAGATTTTTGTGTGTGTTGTGTGTTCTGCCTTAGAATATCAGAATCTTGTGACCTTTTCACTTTAATGTGAATGTGATCAGAGGAGATCAGGACTGCTACGAGGGGATTCAGGATTTCATTTCAGTTTCAAGGTGCCCATCCAAGGTATAGACTTTAGTGTACTATGCAAAACATGGCAGCTGGAGTTTATTTAATAAATCATCAACAACAACAATTTATTACTACAGTCTTAGACCAGTGAGCAGAACAAATAAAAGCACTCGGTATATATAAACTTAAACCTTCTAGTGTAAAATAATAAATAACAACTAAAATCTATAATAAAATCCAGTGTCAGTTAAACGTGGTCTGACTATAAGATAGTTGCAATCCCTAAACTGTGTGACCCATTGTAGGTTCAATGCTAAAAGGGAAGTGACTAAGCGGTGCAAAGTGTTTGCCACAATTATTACATAACATTGCTATGGTGGAGAAGACACCTGTTTGCGACAAATCCCCAGTGCTGCTGTGCAGAATCTGGCCACCTACACTGTAGTTATGGACTGTTCATCCTTAAGCAGCCGCTGGAGATAGGTAGTGACAGAACGGCCAGGATACCTAGCAGTTATTGGCAGAATATGTTTTTTCCTAATCTTTGTGTAAAAGGAACATCTAAGGATCATGTCACCCACAGTCTCCACCTCTCCTGAGCCACAGGGACAGAGTCTTTCCGTCAATGGTATCCTTTTATACTTTGCCATACAGAACAGCCAATGGAAGCGCATGGCACCGTGCGAGCAAAAATGCTTTCGGGTGGTTTGCTGACTCCAACTGATTAAGGTAGCTGGCAGGAGCAACAACACGTCTAGTGGCATCTGGAGCCAGAAACAGCAGAACTTTCCCTCAGTCCGCCTGCCTCTCGATGTCCTCCACCCTTTGTCGCAATCTTTGTCATGGTTACTAGATCTAAGCCTCTATCTGTGGTGCAACTATAGCTCTGGATAGCAAGATGGATGGCATATAAAGTCAATAAATAATTAATAATTCAGCAAAAGTAAATCTATCCATGAAAACGGCAAAGCTCTGGTGGTTTGTGGATAGAATGACTAATATTTTCAAGTCAACATTTCAACATTTGCTTAG